AACCCACTTTTAGGATATTTTAGATCTACTTTCTTATTTTTATGTATGAAATCTTGGCCGTTTGTCTTACCGGTTCCATCGATAACACCCTTTCTTATTCACCATCAACCCTAGATAATTACGCTGTAATTCCGTCCGTCTAGATGAAATTCAACACTCTCTTTCAGCCAAGTATTTTTTTAGGTAGATTCTATGGTACCCTTAAAGTACCATACATTTGTCCACATGGACCAATAAGAATGATGTTGTTGAATTAATTAAATCTTAATTAAAAGGAATAGAATGATTTGGACCAATCAAATGCATAGTAGGTACGGTACCCCGATTTTTAAAATTAAAGGGTACCGGAGTTGTCACCTTTTTTTTTACACCCCGTCTGTCAAACTTCCTTCTTTGTTTCTTCAATTGACATGAAACATGACATATCATTAATAATCAATTGAAGCTTAAATAAGGTGAGATCACAAGATAAATGTTACATGTGCAAGACATAGCTAGCTTGCGTAGACAAATTAATTGAAACCTAACCGGGGATGGGAGTTGGGACTTGTAGTTTATAATAGCCCTACCCATACATTATTATATGTGGATTACTATGTTACAATTAGGCAAAGATAAACGATAAATTAAGAGCAAGAACACAAGAATTAACGTGGTTCACGTAATCGGGGTGATTACGCTAGTCCACGGCGAACGAGAGAGAGTATGTATTATTATCAGCGTCCCCAAGAGGTTTACAAGTACATAAGAGTCGTTTAAATAGGTTTAGGAAAACCTAAACTGAGATTAGAGCCGCAGGCCCAAAATTAAGCCTGTTTTTAAAATTCCCGTCGCCTGACCCGGTCGGGTCTCTTATTTGACCCGGTCGGGTCTCCTTCACAGAACACAAACCCGGTGGAAACCAGGTCGGGTTTCCAAAACAGAAGGCTTCTGCCTTGCTGACCCGGTCGGGTCCCTTCCCTGACCCGGTCGGGTCTCACATCCAGTGAGATCCCCCGGTCTCTGCTTCAACATACCCGGTCGGGTGGCTGACCATACCCGGTCGGGTATCTGCTCTGAACCTAAGAACAAGACTCCATCTTCAACAATCTCCCACTTGGAGGCTTGGTCAACAATTATCTGCCATCCAAGAACATGTATCTTCTGTAAAACCCCTGATTTCTCTCTCTTTTTCTCTTTCTCTCTCGTCCGCGCCTTCTCATCAAGTATCTGGAAGGCCCGTTGAAGCCATGCATAGCTTCAACTTCTCCGTTGTCACCGCCTTGGTAAGCATGTTTGCTGGATTCTTCGTACCAAGGATCTTCTTCAAATTTATAGTACCATCTTCAATCAATTCTCGAATGAAATGATACCTCATCTTGATGTGTTTCGTTCTGCTGTGAAACACCGGATTCTTCGCGAGATGAATAGCACTCTGGTTGTCACAGTACAGACCACAATCCCCCTGTTTCATGCCCAACTCCGAAAGAAAGTTCTTCAACCAAATCATCTCCTTGGCCGCTTCAGCAATAGCCATATACTCTGCTTCTGTGGTTGAAAGAGCTACACTCTTCTGTAATCTGGACATCCAACTGATTGCCGTACCTCCAATAGTGAATATGTAACCCGTAGTGCTCTTCCCGGAATCATGACAGCCCCCCAAATCAGCATCTGCAAAACCTTCTAGAATTGCTCCATTCCTCCTGAAACAAAGAGCAATTTCAGAAGTACCTTTCAAGTAGCGTAACAGCCACTTAACTCCTTCCCAATGTTCCTTCCCTGGATTTGACATGAACCTGCTAACAACTCCCACTGCATGAGCAATGTCCGGCCTTGTTGACACCATTGCGTACATCAAGCTGCCAACGGCTGATGCATAAGGAACTTTAGCCATCTCATCTTTGTCTTCATTGGTCTTTGGAGACTGCTGCTTGGAGAGTTTCAACTGACTCCCTAACGGTGTACTCCTTGGCTTGGCATCCGTCATTCTGAACTTCTCAAGGACCTTCTGAATGTACTTCTGCTGTGAAAGCTTTAAAGTACCTTCCACCTTGTCTCTGACTATGCTCATCCCAAGAATCTGTCTCGCCTCCCCTAAATCCTTCATCTCAAATTCTTCAGACAACTTCTTCTTGAGCTTGTTGATCTCCTGCATGTTTGCTCCAGCCACCAACATGTCATCAACATACAAAAGAAGAATAATGTATGAAGACTCGAATTTCTTCAAGTAACAGCAATGGTCCATCTTGCATCTAGTGTACCCATTCCGCTGCATAAAACTGTCAAACTTCAAGTACCACTGTCTAGGAGCTTGCTTCAGCCCGTATAGGCTCTTCTTGAGTTTGCACACCATCTTCTCTTTACCACTCACTGGGAAACCTGCTGGTTGGGCCATGTAAATGTCTTCTTCAAGGTCACCATGAAGAAAAGCAGTCTTCACATCCAGCTGCTCCAAATGCAAATTTTCAGCAGCAACGATACCAAGGATCAACCTGATAGTAGTCATCTTCACAACCGGAGAGAAGATTTCATTGTAATCAACCCCCTTCTTCTGTTGGAACCCCTTGACAACTAGCCTCGCCTTGTATCTTTTGCTCCCATCAGCTTCATCTTTGATTCTGAACACCCACTTGTTCTCCAAAGCTTTCTTTCCCGGTGGTAGCTTGACTAAGGACCAAGTTTGGTTCTTCTCAAGCGAATCTAACTCATCCTCCATGGCCTTCTTCCACTGTATGGAATCCTTCACGGTCAGCGCCTCTGAGTAAGATTCTGGTTCTCCATTCTCGGTCAGCAACAAATAATTTGCTGAAGGAGAATATCTGTTAGGAGGTCTTCTGATTCTGGTGGACTGTCTGACTTGAGGAGTAGCTGCCTCTGAATTTTCACCATCTTCATCACTCCCACTATCTTCAGACATTCCTGTATCTCCTGAGCTCCCACTGCTCCCTGAACCTCCTGTTGTCTCATCACAACCAACAGGTTGTGCTATGTCATCTTCAGTCATCCCGTCAAACACCACTTGTTGCTTGTTTTCTGGTTGCTTGGCTTTGCTAGTTTCTGCTGCAAGACCATCTTTATACAGGGCATTCTCGTTGAAAGTGACATCTCTACTTCTGATAACCTTCTTGCTGTGGTTGTCCCAGAACCTGTAGCCCATGTCATCCATCCCGTACCCAATAAAGATACACTTCTTTGCCTTTGCCTCGAGCTTGTCACTATCTGCATCTCTAACTTTGACATAAGAAATACAACCAAAAACTTTCAAGTGAGTAAGAGATACCTCTCGACCTTTCCATTCCTCTTCTGGAATTTTGAAACCTATGGGAGATGAGGGTCCTCTGTTGATCAAGTATGCTGCTGTGTTCACCGCATCGGCCCAGAACATCTTTGGAAGTCCTGCATGCAATCTCATGCTCCTGGCCCTCTCATTCAGTGTTCTGTTCATCCTCTCTGCAACACCATTTTGCTGTGGTGTTTCTGGAACCGTCTTCAGCATTCTGATCCCCTGTTCAGCACAATACTCTACAAACTCTGTGCTACTGTACTCACCCCCATTATCACTCTTTAAACACTTAATCTTAAGATTTGTTTCATTCTCAACAGCAGCTTTGAACTTCTTAAAAGTGTTAAAGACATCGGATTTATTCTTAAGAAAATAAACCCATACCTTCCGTGTAGAGTCATCAATGAATGTAACATAGTACCGGGAACCTCCAATCGAAGAGACCTTTGTCGGTCCGTAGACATCTGAATGAATCAACTCCAGCCGCTCAATCTTGGGTTGCTGCCCTGTCTTCACAAAGGTTACCCTCTTTTGTTTGCCTAGAACACATGGCTCACAAAAGCTCAACTTTGAATTCTTCAAATCTGGGATTTTGCCCTTTGAAGACAGCATCTTCATTCCGTTCTCACTTATGTGCCCAAGTCTTTGGTGCCACAAAGTAGAGACCCCTGTATCTTCAACTGCTGCGTTTGCCCCATCTGTGGACACTTCAACCATGTACAGTGTACCATGCTTCTGCCCACGAGCAATGACCAGCTTTCCCTTTGTCACCTTCCATTGCTTGTTGCCAAAACTAACGTTATGGCCTTCCTCATCAAGCTGTCCAACTGAGATCAACATCTTCTTCAGGTCTGGAATATACCTCACATCTTTCAGTCTCCAGGTTGTACCCAAAGTGGTACTGAGATCAACATCCCCAATACCCGTGATCTCTAGGGATTTGTCATCCGCCAAACGAACTCTTCCGTTGTAGGGCCTGAAATTTTTCATCAAATCCCTGCAATGACAAGCATGAAACGACGCACCTGAATCCATGATCCAGGACTCAACTGAATTCTCAACGCTGCAAATTAGAACATCTTCATAATCCTCTGCCACGTTCACCTCCTTCTTGCCTTTGTCTGCAGGGGGTTTTGGGCACTGATTTCTGAAGTGTCCATTCTCTTTGCAATTCCAACAATTGATGTCCTTCCGGTTCTTGGATTGCCCTCTCTTTCTCGACTTCGATCTTCCCTTCTTGTTACCTCCTCTAGTGGATTTTCTGCCCCTATCTTCAGTACTCAACAAACTGTTGGAGCTATCCCCCGAACTCCTCCTCCGGATATCCTCACCAAGGATTAAGTCACGAATACCTTCAAAGGTAAGCTTAGTGGTTCCAGATGAACTACTAACCGCTGTGACTGTACCGGACCAACTATCGGGCAAAGATGATAACAAAAGTAATGCTTGGACTTCATCATCAAATTTAATCTCAACCGAGCCTAACCTGGATATGATTGAATTAAACTCGTTGATGTGATCTGTCACGGATGCACCTTCCTTCATTCTTGTATTCACCAACTGTCTAATCAAGAAAACCTTGTTTGCTGCTGAGGGTTTCTCATACATGTTGGATAACGCCTTGAGCAGTCCGAACGTTGTCTTCTCGTTGACGATGTTGTAGGCAACGTTCTTCGCCAACGACAACCTCACCACACCAAGAGCCTGTCGATCCAACAAATTCCATTCCGCCTCCGTCATCGTTTCTGGTTTGTTCTCAGACAACGGTTGATGAAGCTTCTTCTGGTAGAGATAATCCTCGATCTGCATCTTCCAGAAAGCGAAATCTTGACCATCAAATTTATCGATCTTAACCTTCCCTTCGTCAGCCATAGCTCTGATACCAATTGTTACAATTAGGCAAAGATAAACGATAAATTAAGAGCAAGAACACAAGAATTAACGTGGTTCACGTAATCGGGGTGATTACGCTAGTCCACGGCGAACGAGAGAGAGTATGTATTATTATCAGCGTCCCCAAGAGGTTTACAAGTACATAAGAGTCGTTTAAATAGGTTTAGGAAAACCTAAACTGAGATTAGAGCCGCAGGCCCAAAATTAAGCCTGTTTTTAAAATTCCCGTCGCCTGACCCGGTCGGGTCTCTTATTTGACCCGGTCGGGTCTCCTTCACAGAACACAAACCCGGTGGAAACCAGGTCGGGTTTCCAAAACAGAAGGCTTCTGCCTTGCTGACCCGGTCGGGTCCCTTCCCTGACCCGGTCGGGTCTCACATCCAGTGAGATCCCCCGGTCTCTGCTTCAACATACCCGGTCGGGTGGCTGACCATACCCGGTCGGGTATCTGCTCTGAACCTAAGAACAAGACTCCATCTTCAACATACTACGTATTTAATTTAACGTCATAATAGTGTATTTATAGAGTAGTATATAATAACATATGCTAGATTGTATATCGATGTGTATATGGGGCACGTATTGGTAGACGAGGGCTATTATGCATGACCGGCCCCGGGACTGTGACCAGGGTCAGTCGGTCGGAAATCATCCACGTGTGAAAATTTGGCAAAAGCGTCCGAAGCAAGGGATGGGGTTGAGTGACCGGCCCCGGGACTGTGACCGGGGTCAGTCGGTCGGAAATCATCCACGTGTGAAAATTTGGCAAAAGCGTCCGAAGCAGGGGGTGGGGTTGAGTGACCGGCGCCGGGACTGTGACCGGGGTCAGTCGGTCTGAAATCATCCACATGTGAAAATGTGTCAAAAGCGCGCGAAGCCCGGGGTGGGGTATTGTGCCCTATGCCCGGACTATGGCCGAGGGTAGTCCATGTGGAATCATCTCCAAGCGGCACAGCCGGTGATGCTGCAGACCCCTTTTCATTGGGGGCGTAGGTTAAAGCTCTACTTCCCACTGCTGTTTGGAAACCAAAGGAAAACACAAATGCCAAAATGATAGTGCAAGATGCAGCCTGCTTTAAGTTGTTATAAACTTCAGCCATTGAATTGATGAATACTATATTACTGCAATTGGTTTGTATCTGACTATCTGTATGTATGGCTCAATTAGCTTGTTTGCTTTTCTTGCTGATATACAAAGCATATACTTGTTCATAGTATATATAGACGTACAGCTTCAAAGATACTGCAGCAGTAAGTGATGCTAGTAGCTGAAAAATTAAAGGAATATTTCAAATACTACAGAAAAGTAAAAAAAAAAACAGTTACAGGCCTTATTGGACGACCCAGGCTTCACCGCCCTTCTCATCAATCATGATACACGCACCTAGCTAGATCCTTAATTAGTGGGAAATAGATCACTTAGTATTTCTGTTAGGTTTCTTAATATAGAAATTTTAATTTAGTTATAAGCAAGTACTAAGTTGGATTTTTTTTTAGAAACTATATATATGTTGGAAATTATTCATGCATGTTGCACAATCTTTTAATAGTCCGTAGAGAGCTAAGCTAGTAAAAACAAGTTTTTGAATAGTTTATGAAAAAAATTCAGAGTTATGAACAAGCAAGTCGTAGGCTACGTTTCCCATCATTAAAGTATCGGTGTAGCAAGGGCTATATATATTGTGCTATATATACAAACAATTTTCTCGATAAACTTCTACATGAAATTTTTTATATTCATAATTAAAAAAATTAAAAAAATTGGAGTGAGGCAGGCTAGCATGCCTCCCCACCTCTGCTTCTGATTTATTGCTAGGGTACACTATTATATGGAGTAGTAATGTAGTATTATATGGAATGGGAAAGTGTTTTACCAAAAAAATGCTCATCATGGACAAATATGTGACCAAAACTATTGTAGATATACTTTCAAAACTATTGTAAATATACAAAGTATAATTTTAACGCAACTATAATTACTAAAAGTTATCTTTATTTTAACCATATACTAGTATTAGGGATTATTGTTTCTTATTATTTTTTAATCTTCATAAAAGAAATTGTAGTTGCAACTAAAAATATGGAAGGGTATCATAGATAAACTTGAGTTCCATGTTAATACTCAGAATGGGAATGGGGGCGGGGACCGCCTAGCCAACAATAATAGGGTCATGAAAAAACACTTAATCGAGCACCCATGGTTCGTTTAACCAACGTACAGAATGAGAATATTATGTTGGATATTCATACATATATCAACAAAACTCCATATACGATATATATATATAGAGGAAACTTCATGTCAGGCCGGCCTGACGGGCTGCCCCGTCCGGCCGAGCCCGTTTGGGCACCTTCCCGGTGGAATTTTTTTATGAAATTTTTTGAGCATGTTCCTCATCAAGTCTAGTTTGTCCATACCAAATTTCAGCTCAAAATTCGATCGGGAAGGTTGTCAAATGATTTTTGCAAGTTAACTGGTCCGGAATATGTATTTTCCGGACCAGTTGACTTGCAAAAATCATTTGACGACCTTCCCGATTGAATTTTGAGCTGAAATTTGGTATGGACAAACTAGACTTGACGAGGAACATGCTCAAAAAATTTCATCAAAACATTCCACCGGGAAGATGCCCAAACGGGCTCGGCCGGACGGGGCATCCCGTCAGGCCGGCCTGACATGAAGAGAACTCTATATATATATATATATATATATATATAATAGCTAAATCCATATAAATCCATGAAATCAAATATGTATGAAATAAGATTAGAAGAATACTTTGAGAATTCATTTGCATTAACACTTTAGGAAGACCCAGAAGTCCAAGACCGCTAGTAGGCTAAACCTTCCGATGCATAATAGATGGGATATTTATAGGAGTAGTTTTTCATTGTAACGGTTGGCCCCTTAATATTCTAATAACTCCTTTATTATTATTACAATAATGATATTTATTTAGAATAATTTATTAGGCCATTTTCCGTTACAATATCTTTACTGTTATCTCTTAATTTACACGCACCGGGGGTCATAACCGTTGTATCACTTTAGTATAATATATTTAATTTGACCCGTCACCAAAAGAAATATATTATCCTGGTATCTACACTTTTATTATTTCATGAATAGCCACTGTATTATTTATCTGATGGTAAACACATTTTAATTAATTACATATTAGGCCCCTTTTATTGTTTCCAACATATTAATCCTAAGTCTAAATTAGAAAACTGAGAAACACATGTGTGTGACTTGACTAAGCAATTGAAAGCTTCTAACTTGAACCTATCACAACAACAACCTCTTTTAATATGAACACCTTCAAAATGATTGCTGCAATTCCAAGATCTATTCCAAAATCAAAGAGGTAAAGATTTACTTGCTAAGAGAGGTCAACTGATCAAACCATCTTCCTAAATCATCCAAGAGACACTAGTTTCTCACACCCCAAGGAAAGCATAGGTTTACAAAACCCATCCATGCAACTTAAAAAAAAAAGTCAATTGTGCTCAGTTGTATAACATAAGATATATGGGCTTGGGTTTGACGAAACTTGTGTCCTTCGTTATAGCGTCAAAAATTGATGTTGATGAAAAAGAAAACGAGAGAAAATAATTCTAAGGCTGAGATCTCGTTTGACTACACTCAACCGAATGCTAGTTATAAGGATTGGGAAATTCCTTCGCAGACGACTATGTATCACTTTTTCCTCCAGCAAGTGAGTCTGAGTCTATGTCTACGGGGGAGAACCATTTGTTTTCTGAAAACTCCAAACCTGATAAACTTTACATTCCAAAGATCATTTGCAAATCTGCGGACCTTCACAAATCTTTGGAAATTTAAAAAGTGGTTTTCAAAACACAAAATGAACTACTTTTAATTAAATGAGATTTATCTTCTCAAAAATGTCCCTAGTACAGACTCGTACGGCCTCTACTTCCTTTCCCTTTTCAAAGAGTAAGTTCAATGAAAGTTCAAGTTCTTCAAACAGTCAGTGATTTAGCTCTGTCACACACTATTCTTCTTTGTCTTCTTTTGATGACTCTAGTTATGTGATTACTCATGATCACTTTAGAGCTAACTAAAGTTAGCGAGCCTGAGAAGCTTAATTAACCAAAAGGCTAAGACTTCTAAACTTCATTTTGATGTGAATGATGGCACATCTAAACAGAAAAGAGTTAAATCTTCGGAAATTGCTCAAAATAGGAGCAAAACATAAGATGAGTTCCCAAATAAGAGTTTAAGTTTTTTATTTCCTAAATAGAAGTTATTAATTAGATGTGTCGTTTTTCTTCCGATTATACCCTTTTGTTCCGTCGGATCTTTCTTATCCGATCCTTCGCACTCCTCACACGGCTCTTGCACTGATCTCTTCTCTGTCATCCTTATCCCATTTCTCCTCCATCTACGATCTCTTCTCTCGCACAACAATCTCGCACAAACAGATCTTGCACCAACAAAGATTTCCTCATCTACAACAGATCTAATGATAATCTTTTCTTCTGCTATCAGCGGCAATCATTAATAACATGTATGTTCTTCCTCTTCTTTTCCCCCCTTCTTCTTCCCTTTCTTCTTCTTCTTCTTCAATTCCTCTTCTTCTCCTTCTCTCATCTTTTATTTCACTCGTCGGCACATCCTTGTTCTTTTTTGCAGCGTGAACTGCTTGATGATTACAACTCATTTTTTGCTTAAGCTTTTTGTCCTAGATCCGTTTTAGTCTTTTCTTGAATTCTTACTTTTTCTTTTTTTGCTCTTTCAAATTCTCTCAATTTTTGTTTTCATTTAAATTTTCTTTACAACATAATTATAATTTTTAAATTTGATTTCAATCAATTTTTTTGAAAATTTTCAAATGAAGATGAAAATAACTATTAGGATGAAAATATTACCTCTTTGCAAATAAATTACTAATAATGCCATATTTTCCATGCGAAACATTATTCAACACGTAGTGCCATTTTATTGTTTTTGGTACATCGGAGTAGTGCCATTTTATTTTGTTTGGTACATCAGAGTAGTGCCATTTTATGACACTAGAGTACTACCAGTGCCATGTTGTTTATATTAAAAATATTGTTCCTGCACACAATGCCATTTTACAAATTAGGATGACAAAAGAGTAGTATTAGTGTCATGTTTTTCACATTAAAAATATTGTTCCCGCACACAATGCCATTTATTTGGCACTAACCTCATGACGATGGCAATAGTACTTCCCTTGTAACTGCACTGTGTTTTATGTTTTAAAAATATCAAGATGGCAAAATAAATCATGCTATGTTTGAATACAAATGCCATCATTAAGATAACATTGAAATGGTTAGATGACATCTTAAAACATTCTTTTCAGATCTGAGATTTGTTGTGGTGAAACCAAAGGTGGTTGTGCCGGAAGCGGCATGGACGGCGCCGAACGAGGTGACAATGAATAAGTATCTGGCGGCAGTGGTGAAGGACTTGGCGGCGTTCGACGGCAGAGGTGTTTCACGGATCTGACTCGGTGGAATCGACATGTGGCTCTACCAACACAGCAGCGATGACATCTGACGGCATAGGCATGGCAGTGGCGGCGTCAAGCGGCAACGTCGGTTGGTGTCTACTGCGGATGGTGCCGCAACTTGTGCCAGTGGGCACTCTGCTATCCATTGGCGCTTAGAACACCATTACTTCGTACTCCGTATAATTCCATTTTTCAAATTAGACATTTTATTAAGGGTATTTTTGTCCACCCATGTATTATTACTCCTATTTAAGCACACGGAACATTGGACTCTTAGTTTTGCATTTTTCTTATGTTTTACTCCTAGTTAGGGAATTAACCCTTAAATCTTCAACATATACTATTTGTGACGATGTTTGTTTGACATATCCCTCAGGGTTTATATATTCAGCCAAATATCTTAAATGGTCATTATCAAGTGAGAAAATCTTTACTTCTCAAAAACACGTTCTATCATTCACCTGAGCTGAAATTTCTCTCACACTTGCAATAACTCATAAATGGGTTCCTAACTCAAAAGAGACTGGATTATTTTCACCAAATACAAGTTTGTGATTTTCGTTAAAAAAAATAGTAGCTAAAAATACATATCAAAAGTCAAGGCATTGCATATAAAAGTTGGCCGATCCTATACCACTAGTGGAAAAACGCCAATATGTGGCGGTTTTAAAGCCAGAC